TTACCGCCGTTAAAAAAACCGTCGCTAAAGTATCTTTAACGGCAATAATGAAACCGTCGTTAAAAAAACTGCCACTAAAGCCCTCTTTTAACAGCGGTAACGAAACCGTTGCTAAAGCCCTCTCATTACCACCGTTAATGACGGCGGTCTTTGCCGATAGAGCTTTGGCGGAACTCCGGCGAGTGGTGACCATGCGAGGCCAGAGGTTGAACATAACTATCTACAATAAAGCAAAAGTAATGTTTAAATATTTATTTAGGGAATATATTTCATATAGAGTGGCTGTGGTGGAGTGGTTGGCGTGCGTGGATTAGAGGTCAAGGGTTCGAGACTTGAGGGGTGCAAGAAGAGAGAATTACTTTTTTAAAAATTTGAACATATTTACAACGGTAAAGAACCGCCGTTTTTGGTCGACTTTTAACAACGGTAATTTACCCTTTTACGACGCTTGTACCTTTTTCGACACGCGTATAAACGGCGGTCCTAATTACCGTCGTTAAAGGCTTTAACAGCGGTTTTACATCCTTTAACGGTGGTAAAAAACCGCCGCTAAAGCCCAATTTTGGCGTAGTGATTATTTGTTATGGACTATGGTAGAACTTTTTACGAATGTGATTTTACCAAAGATGACATGAGCATGAACTCCCAATTACTTAAGACTTCAAGAATAGTGTGTTAGAATTAATATTATATATAATAATAGTATACTAACTTAGGTTATAGGATGATCGGGTTTATTAATTGATATTGATAATTTATTATACTTATTAATATTGTTATATTATTAAATTATATATATATGTATGTTATAAATACAATATATGTTAAAACGGCCGGTTTCGGTTAGTTCGGTGCATAAACTGCTTAAACTATATGTTACAACGGTCAGTTTCGGTTAGTTCGGTGCATAAACTGCTTAAACTAATATTGAATTGAAAATAAAAAATAAAAAATCAAATTTAAAAACAACACAGACTAATTCTTATTAAAAAACAAACCAAATACAGACGGTTTAGTTCAGTTTAATTGATTTGGTTAGTTTTTTCAATTTTTCTTGCCTCCTAATATTATGATTCTTGAGGTCCACATTTGTTTTTTGGTTTAGCAGAAATTGGAACGTAAATTTCACGTGCACGAACTCGGATTCTTCCTTAATGTTTCACCTCCAAATACATGGGATTGCAGTGTAAATAACAAAGCACTAGAGCTCTTCGGTCCATATCAGCCATAGGCACGAAGTGAAAGGAAAAAAAAAAAAAAGAGGCCACAAGAGCGTTCTTGTTCACTTCCATTTTCTTGTCACACACCCAAAAACAAATTTGGAGGCTTCTTTCTTGAACCAAACAAGCTCGTCATTCATCAATTGCAAAACAATGGATTCCATGCGCAAACGAGGAGGTTGGATTCCGGTGGTAAAGCAAAGAAGGAAGCAAGCAGCAGGGAGGAAAGCGGACAGTGCAGTAATATTCACGGTGTTCGTGGACAACCTACCTAGCTCTATGTATCCCAAAGGCTTGTTTCATCTTTTCGAGAAGTTTGGAGTTGTAAAAGATATCTTCATAACACAAAGCGAAGAAGAAACACCAAACACAAGATTTAGATTTGTAAGATACAGCTGTGAAGTGGCAGCAAAGGTAGTAGTGCAAAAAGCTCATGGTTTATGGGTGGATGACAGAAAATTAGGAGCGAAATTAGTCGAGTTTGAAAGAAACAGAGGACATGATTAGATTCACTTTCAAAGATCAAAGCAGACTAACCCCGAGGGGGTGATTCGGAGTGACCCATATCCTTGCACTAGCAAGAAGACATATGCAATAGCAGTCAGAGGCACTCAGGATGTGGGTAATGACTCTGTCACAGTCAAGGTAAAAGAGTATGGCAATGGATGGCTCTATGACAGTGTTGTAGTACGTCTAAAAGTCAGATATATTAATGTCTGTCTGAAGACTGAACTTAAAGGAATAAGTATAGATGGGTTTGAAGTCAAAAAAAGTGAAGGAAGAGATGTGGTGTTATCATTCATGTCCAAGGAGGCAATGGAGGCAAAAATGAAGGCTATCAAAGATATAATTGAAGATTGGTGTGAAGCCATCATCCAATGGAGGCCAGAGTTAGCTCTTGCACAGGAGAAAATAGTATGGATTTGTTGCTATGGCATCCCATTGTATCTACGGAATAGGTCTAATCTAATTAAGATTGGTAGTTTATGGGGAGAAGTTATTGAAGGTACTGAAGAAATCCCTCAGTCATTCAATTGTGGTAAGCTTAGGATAATCATTAAGTGCATGGAGCCTATTAATAAGGTCATCAATTTGGAGACTAACAGTCATCTCACCTAGTGAGAGTCTTGGAAGATCAGGGAGTAGCAACAAAAATAATAAACAAGTGCTGCAGATGTAAGAAGCAGTAAGAAGATGAGGAGGATCATAGCTCAAACGAGGTTAAAGGCACTGGGGAGAAAGATAACTCCATCAAAGCTAGTGAGTTTATTTAGAATCATATTGTTGAGTCAACTCAACGTTTAGGAGGTGAGTCATCTCAGGGAGTTAAGTAGTACAAAATCAAGGCTAGAGGAGACAAGACATGTGGGGATGACGGTGTAGTAGAGGTTAACAAAGGGTCACAATGGAAGAGTGTTTCAACAGTGCCAGAGTCATGCGACAGCGTGGGTAAGGAGCTCGAGACAGAAGCATGCAAAGAAATGGTGGCAGTTTGCAATGCATTTAATGACCCAAAGGTAGCAGAACAATCATTGAAGGGGCTAAATGTGAAATGGGTCAGGTCAAAGCCTTGGGCCGGCCCAATCCATTGAAGTCTGAATCCAAGTGGGCTGGATGAGTATATGGGCAAACCAATTGAGCCCAACTTCATGATCAATAGTCCACCCAGGTTCTCAAGCACTTGGGCCCAACCAGCAGTGGAAAGGCTAGTCCAGCCGTGGTGCTGGGCTGGGCTGGGCTGAGCTGCGAGACTGAACCTATGGGCCAAGCAGAAAATAGGCCGAGCCCATACAAAGATATTCGAATCGATCAGCCCATCTCCATGAATGATCTTATAAAAGGCCGAGACAAGGCATAATGATGCCGAGCTGAGGCACAGCGGTACCGAGCTGAGGAAACCTCGCAAGGAAACGTGGAAGTTGTGAATGTGTGCATGTGCAAGTTGCCACCTCAGCTGGTCCCCTACACCTAGAATCACGGAAGTTGTTGAATTAAAGGAATGTAGTTTGTTATCAGCATGACTACAATGAGTATATGCATTCAATGACAACTACCAGATGGTCCCCCACCTGGAGCAATGCTAAAAGGACACCTGGCAGCATCCAAACTCCATGAACCCACTTTGAGAAGCAAGCAAGGAACACTATATATACAACATGAACTTCACATTGAAGGTAACTGAACAATTCCAAGCAAAATCACACTTAGATACAAACTCAACTCTCGATAAATTTTTTCTCCGATTGCCAATTCCCACACCGGAGGGGTTATCTGGCCAACCCCGATCGGGCAACTCTAACGGTGTTTCCTGTGGCAGGAACCTCAGTCCCTGGATAGTCCAACCGAGTGCGGAGCCCCAATCCACTTTCATCTAGTGTGGAATCCGGTACACACAATTGGTGCGGTGAGCGTGGATCACTTTATCTCTGAGCTCTGCACTCAGTTCCGGCAATGGGGATTGAGGACATTCTGCCTTCGATACATACTCCACAGACGGAGAAAACGAAGGACAAAGGTTTGGCACTCCCAACAGTCCCGGAGGAACAAACTGGAAACAATAATCGAACCCCTGAATCTGTCGAGCATCGATTACCCTTCGCTAGAGGTTCTTCTCATCACTTTCTTCTGGAAAAGGATTATAGAGATCGAATCATAGACTCCATGGGGATGGAGATACAGGAGTTGAAAACCCAACTTAAGAAGGTGCTGGGCAATCCGACTGAAAAGAAGACGGAAGCGGAGCCCTCTCGTTTGTGATGGAGGAGCTCATCTAGAGAGCCACCAGTTAAGAAGTTCCCCAGGAATGAGTCTAGGCAACAAAGCCAGCCTATCCCAGTACAGAGTGAGGCAGCAAGCAGTCACACCCGTGGGTCACGCCGGAGAAGGGCCAAGAGGCAGAAGACAGTTAGCCAACAGACTAACTACCCTCCTCAGGACCTTCGTACTTGGTTGATTGGCAATAGGCAGAACGAACAACATCGAGATCATCTGGACCGTACTGTTCCCCAGAGAGAACACCAAGCGCTGGACAGGCTTGTCTCTTCGCCATTCTCCCCGGAGATTGAGACCATGAGACCTCCAAAGAAATTCACCCCACCAAAGTTCACTTCATACGACGGGAAGCCTGACCCGTTGACACATATTAGCCATTATAGACAGATGATGTCCCTATGGAACCGAGATGAGACACTGATGTGTAAAGTCTTCCTATCCAGCTTGGGAGAAATCGGACTTCGATGGTTCGATCATCTCCCCGTTGGATCGACCCATGGCTGGAAGCAGCTCTCCGAAGAGTTCCTAGCCAGGTTCGTCTCCAACACTAAGATCCCGAAGGAGCCGGATACACTATTCGGTCTCCGAAAGGAGCAGGAGGAAACGCTACGCAATTATGCTAGAAGGTACTAGGAAGAGTAGAATGGCCTGGAGGAAAATGTGTGCAGCGAACAGATGGCCATTATGTCCTTCAAACATGGTCTGTGCCCGGAAAGTAAGCTGAGACAATCACTTACCAAGCGCCCGGCCATAGCTTTGAAAGATTTGCGTGCTAGGATTGAGTAGTACGCTCGCTTCGAGGACGATCAGATCCCCATCGAGGAAGCATTAGCAGAACAAATAGCTCGGCACAAAAAGAGAACAGATCGAGAAGAACACCGAGGGATTGCAGTGAATGAAGTGGATAAGTCCAAATCCCACGAAGCCATTGTAACTGTATTCAAAGAGCCAATCTATCAAATCCTGGAAAAGATCAAGAGAGAGCCCTTCTTTGTTTGGCCATCGAAAATGTTAGGAGATCCAGCTCGGCGCAATCAGAAGCTCAGATGCACCTACCACCAAGACAGGGGGCACATGACTCAGAACTGCAGGGCACTAAAGCAACACTTGGAAGACCTAGTAGCAGCCGGGCACCTAAGGGATTACATTGATCAAGATAAGGAAGTGGCCGAACTGGGGAACCTGCTACCAGAACCGAATGTTGAGCACCCACCTCGGTTGATAATAAATGTGATCCACGAGACAGTGATTCAAGAATCTGATGAGGAACTGAAAGAAGAGATCGCTAAGGCCGTGCAAATTCAGAGGGTTATGTCAGTACCTAAATCCCCCTTGTGCACTGTTTCATTTACTAGCAAAGATTTAGAAGGCATACAACACCCACATACTGATGCACTGATTATAACTGTGGAAATTGGGAAACGATTTGACCTAAAACGAGTCCTAGTAGATCAAGGCAGTGCAGCAGACATATTGTATTATGATTTGTTCAGAAAGCTTGGTTTCTCCGAGCAGCAACTCACCCCAGCGGCAGCCCCGTTGGTTGGTTTCAACTCACAGCCAGAATGGCCGCCTGGCAGAATAGTGTTGCCAGTCGTGCAGGAACAAAAACCCTTCAGATAAAGTTCTTGGTTATTAATACACCATTCCCTTACAACGCCATACTTGGCCGCCCATGGATTCATCAAATGGAGGCAGTCCCTTCAGCCTACCACTAGCTCATCCGTTTCCCAACGGAACACAGAGTAGAGCAAATCTCAGGGGATCAAGTTACTTCCAAACATTGCTTCATGGTAGCATTAAAGGCAAAGCAGCTCTGCAATCGGGTACAGACGGTAAAAGTGGACGAACAGCCAGTCTTGGAAGATGTAGGGGGAACCCTAGAGGAAAAGATGGTAGAGGATTTGGAGAAAGTCTTGGTAAAAGAGGATGACCCAGAAAAGTACTTCCTTATCGGTACCTTGCTAGGCACTGATGAGAAACTTCAGCTGCTGGAACTGCTGAGGGAAAATATGGAGGTATTCGCATGGTCAGCATATGATACTCCAGGGTTGGACCCAGAATTTGCTTGCCACAAGCTCAACATCAACCCTTTAGCTCGGCCCATTGTGAAAAAAAGTCGAAGATCCTCAGTCGAGCACACCGAAGCAGTAATTGCCGAAGTCGAAAAACTCCTAGCTTCAGGAGCAATCCGGGAAGTTCAATACCCGCAATGGCTATCCAACACAGTTGTAGTCAAGAAGAAGAACGGAAAATGGAGAGTTTGCATTGACTTTACTTGCTTGAACAAAGCATGCCCTAAAGATAGCTTTCCTCTGCCTCGCATTGATCAACTAGTAGACTCAACAGCAGGGCATGAGCACATGAACTTTCTGGACGCTTATAGTGGTTATCATCAGATACCACTGTTTGGTCCGGATCAAGAAAAGACAGCATTTATCACTCCGAGAGGAACTTACCGCTACAGAGTGATGTCGTTCGGCCTCAAGAACGCCGGGGCGCCCTACCAGCGAATGGTCACTCGGATGTTCAAGGACCAACTGGGAAAAACCATGGAAGCGTATATAGATGATATAGTAGTCAAGAGCAAGTTCGCTACAGACCATCTTACAGACTTGAGAGAAGTTTTCGGCATCTTAAAAAACCATCAGCTTCGCCTCAATGCCTCGAAATACGCTTTCGGCGTAGGAACAGGGAAGTTGTTGAGATATATGGTCACTCACAAAGGAATTGAGGCGAGTCCGAACCAAATAAAAGCAATACAAGATCTTGAAGTACCAACAAAGGCTAAGGAGCTACAGAAACTGGCCGGAATAGTGGCCGCACTGAATCGGTTCATCAACAAATCTTCAGATTGGATGAAGCCCTTCTTCCAGTTTTTGAAGAAAAAGACAGCATTTGAATGGAGTTCCGAGTGCACCGAAGCACTGCAAAGTCTCAAAAAATACCTCAGTACACCTCCCTTTCTGACCACTCCAGAGTTGGGAGAGGAGCTGTACCTCTATCAAGCAGTCTCAGATCATGCCGTAAGCGCAGTATTAATTCGAGAGGTTAACAAGGAATAGAGGCCTGTATACTACGTTAGCAAGACTTTACTAAATGCCGAGACACGGTATCTACCATTGGAAAAGTTAGCTTATGTGCTGCTTATCGCCTTGAGGAAATTACAACATTACTTCCAGGGGCATACCATCAATGTCCTCACTGAATTCCCCCTCAGATCTATATTTAGCCGAGTCGATTTCTCTGGCAGAACAGCAAAATGGGCAGTAGAACTTAGCGAGTTTGACATTCGGTATCAACCCAGGACAGCAATTAAGGCCTAGGTCTTAGAAGATTTCGTCGCAGAATTTGTTCCCACCCAGAGTACCGAACCAGGGAACCCAAGTTCGGCACAGGTGCCACGCATCAACGAACAAGGAAAATCCTGCGCTTTGGAAGCTTGGAAACTCTTCATCGGAAACATCTGGCAGCTCTATGTTGACGGGTCGTCCAAGAACTGAGGTTCGGGGACAGGAGTAGTACTTATCTCACCAGAAGGATTTATCTAGGAACAGGCTCTCAGGCTCGGTTGGAAAGTTTCAAACAACGAGGCAGAGTACGAAGTGTTGTTGGCTGGCTTACGCAATGCCGAACACTTCAGTGCAGAACAGCTTCTTGTTTTCAGCGATTCACAGCTAGTGGTAAACTAGCTTTTTGGGGTCTACAAAACACGGGATGAAAGAATGGCCATGTACGCAGGCAAGGCCAAAGACTTACTCAAAAAGTTTCAATCCATACGAGTGGAACGAATTAGTCAGGACAAAAATGGCCATGCTGATACTTTGGCTTGTCTCGGCTCATCAGTGGATAGCAATGATGCCAGAAAAGTTTGGGTTGAGTTTGTGCCAGAGCCAAGCATTGCATCTCCAGTCCTCTGCAGCAGCGTAGAGCCGAGCTGGATGGATCCAATACTTGCTTTTCTAAAATATGGTACTCTCCCCGAAGAAAAAAAGGAAGCCAACAAAGTCAAACACAAGTCAGCTCGGTTTTGGATCTCACCATCCGGGAAGCTGTATAGACGCTCCTATCTTGGCCCTTATCTTCTATGTGTGCATCCAAATCTGGTCGAGAATGTTCTCTACAAAATTCACGATGGGATTTGTGGATGCCACGTTAGCGGAAGGTCGCTGGCGCGCCGAGCCCTCACTCGCGAGTTTTGGTGGCCACGGATGCAACAAGATGCTCAGCAGTACGTACAGAAGTGTGATAAATGTCAGAGGTTTGCTCTATTCATTCATCAGCCAGCCAAAACTCTCACCCCACTCACCAGCCCGTGGCCCTTTGCCCAATGGGGTCTGGATATTGTCGGACCATTGGTGCGAGGCACTGCGAACAAGTGATTCCTCATTGCTGCAACCGACTATTTTACTAGATGGGTTGAAGTCGAGGCATTGGCAAATATCAAAGAGGCAGATACGAAGCGGTTTGTTATGAGAAATGTGGTGGTGCGTTTCGGCATCCCGCGGTTACTGATTGCGGACAATGGAACACAGTTTGATAGTAAGATCTTCAGAAAGTTTTGTGCCGACCTCAGGATCGAGTATAGGAACTCTTCTCCAGGGTACCCGCAAAGCAATAGACAGGCAAAAGCCTCAAACAAAACCATCATCAACGGAGTAAAGAAACGGCTTGAGCATGCCAAAGGAAAATGGGTTGAAGAGTTACCCCATATGCTATGGGCATACCGAACCACAGCACGGCGATCAACGGGGAAAACACCTTACTCACTAACTTACGGAATGGAGGCTGTCATCACACTCGAAGTCGGCCTCCCAACCCTTCGATCTGAATTGTTTGAGAGCACCACTAACGAGGAAGCTATTGCACAAGCACTAGATATGGCAGAAAGAGAAGCAGCACTGATCAGACTTGTAGCGTATCAGCAGCAGCTTATCAAGAGTTTCAACCAAAAAGTTTTCCCAAGGCAATTTACACCAGGAGAATTGGTCTTGAGGAAAGTTATGGATCATAAAAAGGTGCCTGGTGAGGGCAAACTTGGGCCTAACTGGGAAGGTCCCTACAAAGTCACAGTTGTCGTTGGAAATGGAGCCTACTACCTAGAGGATCTTAATGGCAGAGCTATACCTCGGCCCTGGAACGTAGCAAATCTCAAGAAATACTATCAATAGAATTGTCCCCCACATTCTCTATCAGAATGTAAAGGCATTTATCTGTTGACCAATGCAAATGCTTCCTCACTTCTCTCAAATTTATCAAATTCTTGTAATTAGCTTTGGTTCTTACCAAACGGAAATAGCTTTGATGTTTATCAAACGGAATTGGCTTTGGTTCTTACCAAACGGAATTAGCTTTGATATTTACCAAACGGAATTAGCTTTGATATTTATCAAACGGAATTAGCTTTGGTCCTCACCAAATGGAATTAGCTTTGATGTTTATCAAACGGAATTAACTTTAGTCTTAACCTAAGTGGACTTAGTTTCAGAACGACTGGACGGAATTTTAATTTTGTTAGCACTCAAACATGCTAAGGCGAATTGCTTGGTGGAATAATGTTTGGCAACTAAATTGGACTTTAGCCAAGTGGAATTGCTTGGTGGAAACCACACTAACATATCTTAAGTAAACTTCTTTGAATCCACAGAATTCCTCGAGTACCAACACGTCAACACTTCAGTACTAATTCAAACAACAGAGTAGGAACAAGCATGCCCAGGTTCTATCGGGAGTAAACTTCCAGCATTAATCTTACTCAACTCCAGGTGGGGGCAAACAATTATTTTTCAAAACCACCTGGACCTGAATAAGACACCTCTTCATGCCTTTATCACATTCAAATGCACCTATGTTATCTAAGTTGAAACAGACTCAAGCAGTTTTACACAAGGGCACAATCTTCAGTACCGATCTTACTTAGCTCCAGGTTGGGGCAAACAATTGTTTTCTTTCAAAACCAACTTGGACCTAAGTAAGACCCACTTATGAACTCAAGCACCGCCATACCACATATCCGTCAGCCACACCGAGCATCAGCTCGGCCCCGAGGTCCCAACAGTGCTCGGCCGGAGGCAAACAGTACAATGCCACACTGAGCATCAATTCAGCCCCGAGGCCCCAACAATGCTCGGCCAGGGGCAAGCAGTACAGAATCAAACAGAACATCCATTTAAAAGTAGTACAGAACCAGACCGAGCATCTATTTAGCCCCGAGGTCCCAACAGTGCTCAGCCGGGGGCAGGCAGTATAGAAAACATTCAAACAGTATCAGATTGCAAGTTCAAAAAGAAAATCCTATCATCCAACAAAAGGCACAGATGGCCCCATAACCAGCAGCAAAGAAAACAAAAGAGAAAAGAAAAATTGTCTTGGCAAGTGCAGAAAGAAAGCTCGTCATGGAGATCGAGCCACAATACATCAAAACAGAAAAGCAAAAAAGTTCAAATCCTTTCAACATTAATTTTCATTAACAGAGGGCAACTCAAGAGCAGCATCAGCAATTTTGCCCAGGCCGTCTGGGGGAGGAAAAGTAGAGGCAGCTCCAACTTCCTGAGAAGTAGAAGCCTACTTAACCACATCTCCCGCGGCTTCGGTCTCTAGGGTTTCAATCCCTTCAACATCCA